AATAGCAGTTAGACTTTTATACCACTTCATAGGGCTTTCAGCCCTCTCTAAGTGGTTTACAGAGTGCCCCCACAGTCTGGGTCCTCATTTTACCCACTCAGATGGAAGGCTGAGTCAACCCTGAGCCGGTGAGATTTGAACCGCCGAACTGCAGATAACAGTCAGCTGAAGTGGCTGCAGTACAGCACTCTAACCACTGCGCCACCTTGGCTCTCAAAGAAAGAAAGATAAATATCTAGGGATCAGCAAATAAACCTAAAGAAAAATGAATGTATTTGTAGGAGATTATCAGGCTGAGCCCAAGAGGGGGTGGGTCAGGAGTTCCTTTATGCCCATAAAAGATCTAAGTCCTGTACACTTCGAATTCCATTGATTCTTATGTACTGCCAATTTGCTTTAATCTTAGTAATCCAGTACACTCTCTCAGTAAACTTAGAGAGTGTTAGCATTCAATAACCTGTGTTCATTTGAACCACCTTGCTTCCTGATTTCTTACAGCTGACAGCAGTGCCTCTAATTTCATCTATAACTGCAAAATCATTATCCAGGCTTTAAGGCGTGGCTGCCAAACTCGTGGCCCACGGACCAAATGCGTCACACTCTGGCCATGCCTACGCCTGGTTTAGCGAAGGGGCAAAATGTCACAATACATCATGTGACACCACTGTGACGATGCGAGTTTGACACCCCTGCTTTAATGGCTTCTTCAGTTTATAAAAAAACAAAAAACAAAAGAAAAAAACAACAGGTGTGATTATTTTGTAGGGAAAATACAAACAGATATATGTATTTCCCTCCCCGCAAAAAAAAACCTTTCAGTGGGATATTCTAAATACATGTATTTTCAGTACAAATTCTTAATGTGTATACCCCATTTGTCTATATGCAGCATTTGTCAATCAGGGAGATGGCGATGCGAGGAGTTACCATGCCCAGGTACCTGTGCTTTGGAGGGTGGATCCCACATAACCACTTTTGATGGGAAGAAATATACCTTCCATGGAGACTGTTACTATGTGTTGACCAAGGTGTGTGTGAAATACTTCTCTTTGGAGGTGTATCCAGTGTTTTGAACATTACAAATGTGCTTGGGGTTTTTTGTTTATGCATTTTTATTAAGTTATAAAATATCATAAAATGCAAAATACAAAAGTAAATAAAAGAACATTGATGGGGGAGGGGAAAGGAGGGAAAAGTGAGAAAAGATAGGGGGGAAAGAAAGAAAAAGAATCATTGACTTCCAACTCTCTCTGTTACAGTAGAATAAGACATTAACAACAGAACACAGGTTTTTGCTTTTCCATCATCGTATGAACAAGTCGTTTCTATGAAGATCTATCAATCTAATCTGTAAAACCCAAAGTCAAATTTTCATTCTTTTCCACATCAAGGACGAAGTTCAGAAGTGGTTTCCATGTGGAAACCAAAAGTACTTATGTTCTTTTCTTTAATCAGAGTAGTCAGTTTTGCCATTTCAGCCAGCTCCATCAACTTCTGCAACCATTCTTCCATGGTAGGAATTGAAATGTCCTTCCATTTTTGTGCATACAATAGACTACTGTCAACATATATAGTGACAAAGTTCCAATTTTTTTTCTCCAGTTGTTTTTCCATTAGACCCAAAAGGAAAAGTTCTGGTTTTATTTTTATCCCCATTTTCATAATTTTCTGTATTAAAATATGAATCATACTCCAAATTTCTTTTGCTTTATCACATGTCCAAAATAGATGATAAAAAATCCCTTTTTTATTTTTACACTTCAACATTCATTTGACGTACCTTTATACATCTTAGATAACTTGTCTGGTGTTAAATACCAATGATACATCATCTTATAGAAATTCTCTTTTATATTATAATTTAATGTAAATTTTAAACCCTTCATCCACATATTTTTCCATTGTTCAAGCATCACATTATATCCAAAATTCCTTGCCCACTGAATCATACAATGTTATACAAGTTCACTTTCCAAATTCAATTTCAATAACATTTTATAAATTTTAGTAATAATATGCTCATTACTATCACAAAGAAAGATTTGCACTTCATTTTTAGCAAAATCAAACCCACAACTCTTTTTATTTGACTTAAACCATTCCTTCAGTTGTTGATATGAAAACCAATGTGTAATATAATTCAAGTCCTTCCCTCAACTTTAATGTAACTTCACCAGAGTTGAAAGATAATATTTTATCATACATCCACCAGTCTGGCTTTGCCACCATTTCTTTCCTTTAAAAAAACTTCTTGGGGAGACATACAAAGAGGAAACTACATATAGAAAGTTGTTTTATATTTATTCCAAACACTTAGCATGGCACGTCTAGCAAAGTGATTATTAAAACCTACGTTAAGTTTATCATATCATAAATAACTGTGCCATCCAAATCTTAATCTGTGGCCCTCTAATTCAAATAACTTCTTATTCTGCAGGTTCACCCACTCTTTTAATTAGGCCAAACAACATGCCTCAAAATACAATTTCAGGTCTGGTAAACCCAAACCTCCTTTTTCCTTAGCATCTTGAAATAGTTAGTATCTAAT